GATGTTTTCCACACTGCACCGGGTACTCGTTTTGAGGCCGAGTCAACCTAGGGGAGGCCCAGGACCGGTTCAAACAATCATCGCGTTTGTTGGTAGCCGTGGGCAGGAATCGAGCACAGTGCGCTAACCGCAGTGCCAACGCTCCCCATTATTCAAATACGGCGAGCCCTCGCTTAACGCGTGGTGTTCACACAATGCGTTTTCGCGATAACGCTGTTCGCCCATTTGGGAACACCGTTCGCACAACGCGGAAATGAGCCCATTGTTATGGCGGTTTCTGAGCAGCCAACGACGATCTCCTTGAGCTGCGCGGCTGGGGGTTACAATACCGGAAACGTGGCGGCGTGCCCTCGAGTTACTTGTCCCGCCAGCACGCTGCGCGTGCGTGCACCGTAAGTCGTCAAACTTTATCGTCACGACATTTATGCGAAGATTGCGTTTCGATGAACGCGGCACTGTTCAGGAGCACATCTACTAGCACGTTACACGAGTACTTGCTGTACACAAACACACATTCACGCCTGAGGTCAGCACGGTTGGCTAAATACGGTGCGAAAGAAGCTCAACATATATACACACAACAACCACCGTTCACCACTAAGTGCCATTGACACCAGGCTCAGCGAGATTTTAACTACCTCGCCTGGTATACAGGAGGTCGTGGGTTCGACCTTTATGCCTGTATATTTGGAGTTTCCATGTTCTCCCCGTGGTCCACATTTAGAATCATCATATGTTTCGTTGTTATACATTCCCACATGATGGGCCACTTTATTGAGCTGTAAATTGTGACCAGGTCACTTCTAAAAAATAGCTATATAGCTCAGTGGGCCTTTCCTGGTAAGATAAAAAATTGTTTAGTTTAGTTCCGGCCACGTGAAATGTTGGAGCTTTGCTGGCAGGAGGTCGCGGAACAGACCCAGGTGTTATTGGTTGACTGACTGAGATGACTGGCAGACATACATAGATACAAACATACATACTAACGTACACACATATACACAACAACAGTCGCCACTCGCTACTAATTGGCGGCAATGTCACCACGGCACTTTTACCAGGCTAGGTGCACTTTGAGGCTATGTGAAGTGTCGAAGGCTCGCTGGCACCCAGGTGCCATGAGTTGACTGACTGAGATGACTGGGAGATGCCCCAGCTCTGCCCCCAACAGTGCCCACTATAGAAACAAAGAAGGAGATCATCCGTGTAGCCTTCACAGACTGTTGGGGCTAGTACTGTTAGCGAGCGCATGTGAAGGCCGGCACGGCACGCGGGGGGTTGGGTGGTCAGCACCACGCTCAGCCGCATTGGTTTCCCAAGTGGTGATGCTTACACATTGCACCAGCTACTCATTTGAGGCTGAGTCGACCTAGGGGAGGTCCAGCACCAATTCATATAATCGTCACTGGTGTTGTCTGTGAGTGGGAATTAAATTCGGCTATCCGAGTTCGTAGCGCAGTGCGCTAACCACTACACTAACGCTCCCCATTATAAACACATACATATAGACACACACACATACGTACAAAGACATATAGAGGCTTCCCTCCATTTACAAAAGGATGCGGTTCTCAAAAAAACACTCATTAAACGATATTTTGTTAATTAGAACCGCTTTTCGGACATTCCAACTCTACTCCTAACCTAATTAATAATAAACCTACATCACTTTTCACAATTCAAAAATAATAAAAAAAAAGAACATGGACATTAAAACGATTGAATAATCATGATAAAAATTTTTAATGAAACTTATTACAGAACTCGCAAAAAGATCTACTGCACTTTGGAATGACTGGCAAGGCGATGTGGGGGCGTTACTGCTGCCACTGCAGGGACACCGTGACGCTGTCGCCGATGGATGACGACGCAGCCTCCCGGGTGGCTTCTCGTTTGACGATGTCACGGCGTGTGGCCGTCGTGAAACTTAGCTCACGCGGAAATTCGATTCCGCAGTTTGTCAATTGCGAAAGTGCGAAATTTCATCAACCGAACGGTCGTAAATCGAGGGATACCTGCGCTCACATGCACACCTAGAAAAACACCAAATGGCGCGTTAGATAAAATGTTTTTTGTTATCTACGACTTGTACAATGATGGCGCGGGTTGATAATGACCGTGTCATAGCTTATGGGCTGGCGTCGTTGATATGCCGCGTATTAATCCGGGTTCTCAATTGTGGCAAGCCGGTGGCTTCCGCCCGTGCAATCCTCCACCGTTAAACTTTACACGTGGGGGTTTTGCAGCCACGACAAATGATCCCTTTTCGTTGTTCTTGGGTATGTGGCAAAACCCAAAAATATGTTCGTACGTACGTATGTACGTTGAACGTCTTTCGCGCCATACGTAGCCAACCTCGCTCATCGTAAAAAGCAGCTCTAAAGAAATTAGCTTTCAGTCTTAAGAGTGTGGATCAACCAGGATTAAATGTAGCTTGAGTACTAAGTTGGGAATGTTCCAACCCCGAGAGTAAAACCTCTTGTTGGTTGGCAGGCGTGTGCGCTGCTCTGGAGGGGGTGCGTCAATTTAAATGGTACGGAGGTATGGAGCCTGATTTAAGGGCCTGCAGAAGTCGTTTGATCAATAATTTCGGCTTCTTTACACCGCGGGAGCGTCGCTTCCCCTGAACCCCCGTCACTTTTTTGTTCAAGTTTGGCCTGCCAAGCTTCTGCGGGGAGGCGGTGACGGCTGCTGTGTGCGTGAGATGCCAACTGAGTAATTTTTGCCGGTGATATTTCGCGTTTGTGCATAAGTTGGAGCGCGTCGCCGGCGCACGCGATGGCCCTCCTCCTCCTTGCGAATGACGTCACGGGGTCATCAACGTCCGCTGCGAAGCAGACGGAGCGTAGTCGTACTTTTGTTTTATGGTTCATCATTTTGGGACATCTTTAGTGGACGTTTTCTGGGACAAGGTGGTACGCTGCTCTGTGAGAATTAAAATATAATTAGAAGCAAAATCTAAAAGTTAAATCAAACGTCTCTATATATGCATGTTGCTCTTCTTTCACGCCGTACATTGCTAACCGTGCTAATTGGAGGTCATGCCTTAAAAGCAATTCAAAGTTCTGTCTCGGTTGTAAGCCAGCCCACGTGTGTGTCTTGTGCATGGCAAGATGTTCAGGAGCTGAATGCTAATATCGAGGTCTGCTAATCACGATGAGAGGGCTTCAGGAGAGAGTTCGTGCAGTTTTTTGCTGTCCCTCTTCCGTTAAAGGAGCGCAGACTCCGGCCGTGCACAGTGTGGGTTGCGTGGCCACAATCGCACTCCTTTGGCTCGGCTCTTTAATTTTACGCTCGTAAAGGAGAGGTGCACATCGGCCTGCTGATGTTTGGAAGTGGTTCACGGTTCCAGCGGTGTTGTCGAGGCGGAGGGTGGAGGAATGTCAAAGCCAGGAGCTGCCATGTGTGGGTCTCGTATGAGGTGTTTATTCTGGACGTCCACGTCCGGAATAAACGCCTCGTTCAAAATGGTTCCACTGTTCGGCTGCGTTCTTCCGTATCTGGGTGGCATTCTACGATGGTGTTGGCAGCGGCAACAGCAGCAGCGCGTGTGACGTTATGTTTGAGCGAGAGTACTGCATTTGTTTGTGTTTGAGTGAGATTTGTGGGCGTGGGTAAACGGTGCATTGTGGTGGCACACATGTGCCGTAAATTCAGCGTTTGGTAATCGATGCTATACACTTTTCCGTTTATAAACCACTGCGACGCATTTAACACGAACACTCGCACGCATCTTGCGCTCGCAAAGTAACATCTCAGGGCAGGCTTATTTTTACCCCCAGAGGACTCGCCAGAGGCAGCTTGTTCCCTGTGTGCCGCAATGGGGACACAGCGCCGGCCTGCAAGTGGGCAGCGGTCTGCCAGTAGGGGGGCGGTGTTGCTGCTGCGTGGCTTTTCACAATGAAGTAACCTGAGAGTAATTTTACAAATTTTCGCAAATATGACCGGGGCGTCGTTACGCACAATGGCCGACTCTTTTTCAAATAACACCGCGGGATTTTCAGCGTCCGCTCTGGGGTAGAAGGTAAAATATTTTACGGTTAATTCACCCGCGGTATTAACCAGGGCGGCCCGGGGTGCTCGAACCACGAACTTCCGCAGCAAGCCGCTCGACGCCGCAGCTCCACCCTAGCCGGCGGGTGGAGCTGCGGCACGGCGGTTGGGGTAGGCGCGCTGTTCACCCGGCGAGGCGAGTTCGATTCCCGACCGGGGGGTTGACGTGAGCGCGGCGAGCAATATCCCAAGCGGACCCTCGCCTCTGTCTGCCTTGAACGACCCGCGCTGACCGGCGTGGGGTGGCATGGGTCAGCGACCGCCGTGACCCGCACGGCGGTCGGAGTCCTCTGTTCCAGCCGGGGATTGAGAATGGTGCGTGAACTGACTACAGCCGCCTTCTCGATGGTGTGGTGTGTGCTGTGTCGGAGACCAGTGGGGAACCCCCCCCCACCTGAGTCTCCCGGAGATTGAGAACAAGCCCAGGTTTTAATGTGCCTGAGCAAATGTTGCTGAAGAGAGCAGTGCAGGAGGGCCCCATTGCCCAATAGCCGTTCCACAGATTATTTATTTTTCCTTCGAGAAGTTGAAACCGATGTCTCTTATCCTCACTGTGTTCGCCTAAGGAGCGGGGACACGGATTTTATGAACCAGTGCCGTGAGATACGATGCCTCGTTTCTGAGTCGAAGTGAGCAGAAGTGAGCAGAGCAATTGTGGCAAGGGACTGGTCGAGGGTGTGTAGGTCATCGTTCCGCCATCGTTAGAGCCTCGCTGATTGCAGTCACAAGTAACCACGTCCGTGTTGTGTCTTATTATAGTGCTGTGTCAAGCCAGGACCTTTATCTAAACACTCACGTCTGTCAGTTCAACGGCATTGGTTCACGCAAGCAGCCTGACTCTGCTGCCAGAACCGCGTCTCAGTTTGGCCCATGTTCAACCAGCGCTGCTGAAGCTGTGCCGTGATTCGTCCTTTCCACCCCGCCCCCCCCGCCCCCGCTGCCCTCAGGGACGCATTGCGGCTTCGACGACAACTTTGCCGACATGCTGTCGGCGAGCATCGGCCGGGGTCCGGGCCCCGGCAGTTTGGACAACGGGGCCGCCGGTGGTGGCGGCGGCGGGGCCGTCGCGTCGGCCCCGCCGCGCCACCGTCCCGTGAGCAGCGACCCGCCGCCCTTGACGTTCGACGAAGACGCGTTCGGCACGGGGCCGCCGCCGGATCCGGTCGCCCGGAGCGCCGGAACGGCCGAAGCGCCGAGGCCGACGTCCCGGAAGCTGCCCCCGCCCAGGCCCCCCAAGCCCCTCGCGGCGGCCGCCGCCGCCGGGGAGGGGGGGGAGCGCCGCCCCCCGCCCAGACCCCCGCCTCCGGTGCCCGCGCGGCCCCTGCCCCGCGGCGTGGGGTGAGCGGCGTCATCGTCGGCGTCATCGTCGGCGTCATCATCGGCGTCATCGCTACCCCGCGTCGTCATCAACACCGCAGTCGCGATTGCATAGCGATTGCAACGATCGTCGTCATCGTCACCGACGTTGCGATCGTCATAATCATCATCGTCCGTCTCATCATCACCATTGTCATCTGTATGGGGATTGAGTCTTAACCCCCCCCCCCAACCTCGCATGTGAATAATCAATAACGGAGTTTGCCCAACATCTTGACATAGAACCACAGATCTTGGGCAGTTGTTGGCAACGCCGATTGTGGTTGCGTTTGTGGTGTACGGCGCCTCCGTGCGGTAAACTGTGCACTTTGCAAATTCTACGGCAGCTTGTTTGAGATGCAGTTTGCACAAATGATGCAAAATATGAATAAAACATTATTGTTATTATAATTATTGCACTATAATCATTACCGGGGGACACATGGTGGTTGAGCGTAGTGCCGGCCAAACCACCTAAATAAAACTTTTTATTTTACCAGGTGAGGCCCACTGATCTTTAATGCTCTTTTTTCAGAAGCGACCTGGCCACCAATGATAGCTCAACAAAGTGACTTATCACGTGGAAATTTATAGCAGCCAAACGCTCTCAACGTGTCTTGATTTTAATTGTGGAGGGAAAAGCCGGAGGACCCGGAAGAAAATCCACCCGACCACGGTGGAGAACGCGCAAACTCTAAATACACAGCGGCAGGCGGCGGGGTCGGGATCGAACCCACGACCCCTGCATACCAGGGGCGAGGTAGTGAACATCTCCTAGCCACCGTGGCGTCCCACGGTGGCGAGACACGCTGCGTCGGCGCTGCCCTCTGCGTCGCGTGACGCGGGCGTCCCCGTGTGCACTCACGCAGGCAGATCACCCGGCAGGACAGCGACGGGCCGGCGGGCCCCATGTCGCCCCTCACCACCCTGCGCACGCTGGGGCCCGAGCGCATGTCGGTGCAGCGTGAGGCGCTCATCCAGGAGTATATGCGGCGGCGCGCGCGCGAGTTCACCACCAAGTGCACGCTCAGGTGGGGCTCGCCGCGACGGTCGCCGCCGTCGCTACCACCACCGCCGTCGCCGCCGTCGCCACCGCCGCCGCTGTCACAGCTTCGGCTCGCTGCTCGCTCCGTTAGCTTTTTTGGTGGCGCAACTTGTTTTCTCGTCGTTGTGGCTCCGCGCGGTCGTGCGAGACGTCTGCACCGTCGAGTTTTCGTGCCTCAGACCTCCCGTGCCGTAGAGGCTTGTGCGTCTCGGCGGGCCGTCGGGCCGGCTCCGGCTTTAACGGAGGTCTTCACCCAGCAGCTGCTGTCCGCAGCGTTGGAAGTGTGCCCTTCTCAGAGCACCAAACGCGCCTCCCACCGGCCCCCATCTTGCCGGTGCGGTGGTTCGGGAGCGCGCCGGTTCCATTCAATCCCCCCGCCGCGGAAGTTGAAACAACGGAGGCGGCGTCCGCCCCGAACCGTGCGTCCTCTTGCAGGTTCTTCATCGGCACGTGGAACGTGAACGGCCAGAGTCCGTACAACAGCACCCTGAAAAGCTGGCTGAGCTGCGACGAGGAGGCGCCCGACGTCTACTACATCGGGTACGCCGGCCCGGCCGCACGCTCGGGGAGGTCGTTGGTGCCGCGCCAATGCCACGGGACCCTCGAGCTCGGCGCTAGCAGCACCATCAGTACCGCCGCCGCCACCGCCGTCCGAGCTTTTGCGCGCTTGTGATGACGTGTGTGTGAACGTTATGAAGTCACGAGGCCATTGCCAAGTCGTGACGTCTGTGTACACGCGACACGTGTGCCGTGTGTGTGCGTGTGATACAGATGTACTTTGTGTATCACACACACACGCATACCGTGTGTGTGTGATACAGATGTACTTTGTGTATCACACACACACGCATACCGTGTGTGTGTGATACAGATGTACTTTGTGTATCACACACACACGCATGCCGTGTGTGTGTGATACAGATGTACTTTGTGTGTCTGATATACCCATGCTTTGTGTGGGTGTGATAGACCGCGCTGCGTGTGTATGTGGTGTATCACACACACCCATACCGTATGTGTGTGTGTGATACACCCGTGCCGTGTGTGTGATACACATGTGCCGTGTGTGTGTGATACACATGTGCTGTGTGTGTGTGATACACATGTGCCGTGTGTATGTGTGATACATCCGTGCTGTGTGTGTGTGTGATACACCCGTGCCATGTGTGTGTGTGTGATACACATGTACCGTGTGTGTGTGATACACATGTGCCGTGTGTATGTGTGATACACGTGCCGTGTGTGTGATACACATGTGTCGTGTGTGTGTGTGATACACATGTGCCGTGTGTGTGTGATACACGTGTGCCGTGTGTGTGTGATACACATATGCCATGTGTGTGTGATACACATGTGCCGTGTGTGTGTGATACACGTGCTGTGTGTGTGTGTGATACATCCGTGCCGTGTGTGTGTGATACACATATGCCGTGTGTGTGTGATACACATGTACCATGTGTGTGTGTGATACACATGTGCCGTGTGTGTGTGATACACATGTGCCGTGTGTGTGTGATACACATCTGCTGTGTGTATGTGTGATACATCCGTGCTGTGTGTGTGTGTGATACACCCGTGCCATGTGTGTGTGTGTGATACACATGTACCGTGTGTGTGTGATACACATGTGCCGTGTGTATGTGTGATACACGTGCCGTGTGTGTGATACACATGTGTCGTGTGTGTGTGTGATACACATGTGCCGTGTGTGTGTGATACACGTGTGCCGTGTGTGTGTGATACACATATGCCATGTGTGTGTGATACACATGTGCCGTGTGTGTGTGATACACGTGCTGTGTGTGTGTGTGTGTGATACATCCGTGCCGTGTGTGTGTGATACACATATGCCGTGTGTGTGTGATACACATGTACCATGTGTGTGTGTGATACACATGTGCCGTGTGTGTGTGATACACATGTGCCGTGTGTGTGTGATACACATCTGCTGTGGGTATGTGTGATACACATGTGCCGTGTGTGTGTGATACACATGTGCTGTGTGTATGTGTGATACATCCGTGCTGTGTGTGATACACATGTGCCGTGTGTGTGTGATACACGTGCTGTGTGTGTGTGATAGACGTGCTGTGTGTGTGTGTGTGTGATACACATGTGCCGTGTGTGTGTAATACACATGTGCCGTGTGTGTGTGTGATACACATGTGCCGTGTGTGTGTGGGATACTTCCGTGCTGTGTGTATGTGTGATACACCCGTGCCGTGTGTGTGTGGGATACGCATGTGCCGTGTGTGTGTGAAACACATGTGCCGTGTGTGTGTGGGATACACATGTTCCGTGTGTGTGTGATACACATATGCTGTGTGTGTGTGTGATACACATATGCTGTGTGTGTGATACACGTGCCGTGTGTATGTGTGATACATCCGTGCCGTGTGTATGTGTGATACACATGTGCCGTATGTGTGTGATACACATGTGCCGTGTGTATGTGTGATACTTCCGTGCTGCGTGTGTATGTGTGATACTTCCGTGCTGCGTGTGTATGTGTGATACATCTGTGCTGTGTGTGTGTGATACACATGTGCCGTGTGTATGTGTGATACATCTGTGCTGTGTGTGTGTGATACTTCCGTGCTGCGTGTGTGTGCGAGACACCCGTGCTGCGTGTGTGTGTGTATAACGATCTTGTGCTCTGCGCTGCGTGTCTAGGTTCCAGGAGCTGGATTTGAGCAAGGAGGCGTTCCTGTTCAGCGACTCCCCGAGAGAGAAGGAGTGGGTACAGGCGGTCGTCAGTGGCCTGCACTGCGGCGCAAGCTACAAGCGGGTGACCAGGGCTGCCTACAGAATGTTCCCCCGATTACCGGTCTGGCCGCGGTCAGAAGTTTGAGTAAAATTTTCTGTTGAGATTTGAATAACTCAAACCCATCGTTCCTCCGAGGTCGGCAAAAACTCGGCGCTACTTCGCACGAAGCGCACGTGGTTTTTACCACGCTGCCGACTACCCGCAACGCCGTTCCTCTGGCCTCTCTGCCGAGACGCTCGAGTGGGGCTGTCTGGCGCGAGGGCCACTTCGTGGTGTCGCGTCGAGCCCCTCTGTGTCGGTCTCCGTGGGATGTCGGCAGCGGGTTCCGTCCCACGGACAGACGGCGCTCGAGGCAAGCGCCGGTCGCCCAGCGTTGGCTGGGAAGATGCCGAAAGAAATCCCTCGGCCGGCGCCTTGAGGGTTTGGCACCGGTCGCGTTGCCGCGGTGCGAGCGCTCGACTCGCCCGTCGCGAGTGGCGACATGTTAACTACCTCGCCTGGTATACAGGACGTTGTGGGTTCGATCCCGACCCTGTGGTGCCTGCTGTATTATTTGGAGTTTGTGGTGTCTCTCTCCCCGTGGTCGTGTGGATTTTTCTCCGAGTCGTTTTTTTTTCCTCCACATTTGGAATCAACATCACACTTCGTTGAGCTGTCATTTGTGATAGCCAGGTCGCTTCTGAAAAAGAGCTACATCGCTCAGTGGGCCTTACTTGGTAAAATGAATATTGTTTAACAGTTAAGTTCACCTCCCCCCCCCACCCCCCCCCGCGTCTTTAACATTAAACGCGGCCCGCTTTGTGGAAAGTCGACAGTGGTCGTCCAGTATAGACAACCCTCCGGGCGGTCGTGTGGAGTCAGTTGTGTGGGCGAGCGTCGCCCCGCGACGAGACAACGCGTCCGCGTCGACTAACCGCCGTCCTGCTGCCGCCGCCGCACGTTCAGGTGACGCTGGTGCGCCTCGTGGGGATGATGCTGCTCGTGTACGCGAAGGCGGCGCTGTGCCCCCACATCCAGCAGGTGGTGACGGACACCGTGGGCACGGGCATCATGGGACGAATGGTGAGCGCGCGGTCCCGACCGTGGCGGCCGCCGTTCCGCTCGCCGCGGAGTCTCTGGCGCACCGGATCGGAGCTCCCCCGGCAGAGATGCTGGCGGACGTCGCGGTTTACGTTCGCCCGTCGGCACGAGCGTCTCGGCCGTCCCGAATATTGAGATGTATTTTGCTGCTGTAAATTTTCACGTGATAAGCCACTTTGTTGTTGAGCTATCATTTGTGGCCACGTCGCTTCTGAAAAACAAGTCAATAGCTCAGTAGGCTTTACCTGGTAATTTTTACGTGATTTGTTTACCTTTCCTATACTTAGCACTCCTATTGTGTTTTGAATTGTTGGTTGTTGCCGCGTTCTGACCTGCCCCTGACTGGACATCTCCAGTATGAATACATATGCTGATTCTATCTCCTTCACTGAGCCGACGGGTTCCGGTTGTGGTTGAGATTGGAATCTGAGGCTCGAACTTTACTCTGACACAGTCCCATTTTTGTTGTTGTGTTTAGTTTGTTGTCCTTCCTCCCCACCTCCGATGAGCACGGATGGCGATGCACAGTGTGGATAGAAGTTCAACATCCATACATACAGTTTACTAGGCCGGAAGAGACGGGCACCGTCTAAAGGACTTGCGACTAATGTAATTTTACGAATGAATTTGTGACTTGTAATCGGTAGCCAATTGACACAAGACACAGTCATTTGGTTTTTAAAACTAAATTACAGCTTTCGTGACTGCAGGGATTCATATTCTTGGTTCTTTCGGTAAAGTCACGTAGAAGGGAAACAATAAAATATTGTTTTATATTTTTATTTTATTGTTTCCCTTCTACGTGACTTTACCGAAAGAACCCAGAATATAAATTACAGCTGTCTCGTAATCGGAATCTACTTTGTTCATCTCTGCGTCAAAACAGAAACAATTTTTTACCGTTCGATTGCATGACCTTTTTTTATTCACGAACCCAAGATCGACTGAACATGGTATTGTGACCTGCTGTTTGGTTTAGTGAGTGGGTGGGTCGGTGGGTGAATGTCTTGTAGTGGTGGTGGTTGAACACACGGTGGGAGTGACTGTGGCTCTTGTGCGTGAGCCATGACTGGCTGCTGTGTGTGCCGTGCGTGTATGCCGTGCGTGTGTACCGTGCGTGTGTACTGTACGTGTGTGCCGTGCGTGTGTGCCGTGCGTGTGTGTGCCGTGCGTGTGTGCCGTGCGTGTGTGCCGTGCGTGTGTACCGTACGTGTGTGCCGTGCGTGTGTACCGTGCGTGTGTACCGTACGTGTGTGCCGTGCGTGTGTGCCGTGCGTGTGTGCCGTGCGTGTGTACCGTACGTGTGTGCCGTGCGTGTGTGCCGTGCGTGTGTGCCGTGCGTGTGTGCCGTGCGTGTGTGCCGTGCGTGTGTGTGCCGTGCGTGTGTGCCGTGCGTGTGTACCGTACGTGTGTGCCGTGCGTGTGTGCCGTGCGTGTGTACCGTGCGTGTGTGCCGTGCGTGTGTGCCGTGCGTGTGTGCCGTGCGTGTGTACCGTACGTGTGTGCCGTGCGTGTGTGCCGTGCGTGCCGTGCGTGTGTGCCGTGCGTGTGTACCGTACGTGTGTACCGTGCGTGTGTGCCGTGCGTGTGTGCCGTGCGTGTGTGCCGTGCGTGTGTGCCGTGCGTGTGTGCCGTGCGTGTGTGCCGTGCGTGGCTCCCCAGGGCAACAAGGGCGGCGTGGGCGTGTCGCTCATGCTGCACGGCACCAGCGTCTGCGTCGTCAACTCCCACCTGGCGGCGCACACGGACGGCTGCGAGCGACGCAACGAGGACTTCCGTGACGTGTGTGCGCGCATGAGCTTCCAGAGGGACGACCCCGCACGGACCCTGCTCGGCGTCTCCAACCACGAGTGAGGGGGGCGGCGGGGGCGGTGGGGTGGTGCTAGGGGGAGGGGTTTGCTCGAGGTGGGGGGGGGGGCGTAGCCACACGGCCTTCTGGGAGTGCGTACTTTCAGCAGGATTGGTTCCAACGCAAGCAAACTTGGGACGGGGTTTTGACATTGAGTGTCTCATCAGCCGATACCGGTGATTAGGCAAGCACTTTCTCCGTTAGACACGGGATCCTTATTCGACACGAAACTCGTATCGCACGCAACGCACAAAAATAAAACCTAGCGTCGCTACGACAGTTTGGGCGTCTAAAACGTGGATTCGCCCCCTGAACGTGAGCGGTGCCGACTCGGCACTCGGACTCACTCGCTCGCCCCCGGCGTTCCTCTCCCCGCAGCGCCCTCATCTGGCTCGGGGACCTCAACTACCGGATCAACAACCTGCGCGCCGACGAGGTGAAGCACCTCATCAACAACTGCGACTACAAGAAGCTGCAGGCCAACGACCAGGTGACACCCGGCGGCCGGCGCGGCACGAACGCGGGCCCTCTGGCCCCTGAGTCGGGGCCCGGGAAAGCCGTTTCCTTAGCGAGGGGCCGAGCGCGGCGGTGCGTGGTCTGAAGAGGGGGGGGGGGGGGCGAGAGAGCCAGCCGAGCCACGGCGGCGCTCGCGATCGGAGACGTCTCCCGTCTGCAATTGTCGGTCGACGCGGTGTCGATGCGTTCATAAAAGCGCAACTCGCTATATGTATCGCAGCTCCTTTGCGCGAAAAATGACATTCACAATTGGCTGAGTGAGGTTGAAGGTGCGGGCAGTGTCCTGCATGCAGATTTAAAAACCTTCCACAGACGAGGCCCTCTTCTTCTTCTCCTTCGTCTTCACTCTTATCCGATGGGGTGGAGCGCTCCCGCAGGGTCGGAGGTTGGAATGGCAAAACCTCGAGCGCCCGGGGTCTCCACGGGGACCCCGGGGAACCTCGTGGCCAATCGGCGACGCTTCTCGCGGCCAGTCGCCGTGGGCTGCCCCCCGGGCCAAGGGCAGTGGGATCCTTTTCCCTGGTGAACTGGCTCTAACCGCACCTCCGATTAGCATGGTTGCATACGTACGGTGCGAAAGAAGTTCAGCATACATACATACATACGTACATCAACGCTGAATGCCTACTACTTTCGGTGGGCGGGGGGAGGGAGAGGGCTTCATGTCAGCCGGAGCTGTCCAGGCCTGAGATCCAGGAAATAATTTGGCCACAGGGATTTCAATGGAAAAATGTGCCTTGAGAAATGAAGCCCTGCTATTGCCAGGTGCACGTGGCTGCCCTGTAGTCTGACGCTGTGGAGGCAGCAGAGCAAAGGTTGGTGGATCACCGCAACACAAATGTTGAGAAACTTTCTCCCCGTGGGCGTCAAGGAGGTCCTCCCGGGCCACAGCAGGGGAGGTGGAGCAGGAATACTGAGAGCGGGCGGATATGATACCCTCAACGTGGCATGTCTGTATGTTGAACTTCGTTCGCACTGTAGGTAGCCAACCATGGCCATCGGAGGTGCGGCAATTAACGGGAGCCCAGCCCGCGTGCCGCCGTGGACAGAGCTGTTGGCTTGCATGTAGATGCTGAACACGGGTAACACGGCCAGCAGGGAAATCTGGGTACAGAGACAAACATCCCCCTTTTCGACGCAATGGAATTTGGTGGCAAGTGCTGTTCGTGAGCGCCTATGAAAGCCGGCGCGGCACACGAGGGGGTGGGTGGCCAGCACCACGCCCGGCCGCATTTGTCTCCCCAGTGGTCACGTTTACCCATCAGGTGCTCATTTGAGGCCGAGTCGACCTAGGGGAGGCCTTGGACCGGTTAGAAAATCGTCACTGTTGTTGACCATGAGCGGGAATCGAATTTGGGTCGCCGATTCGCTATACTACTACCTCTCCCCACATGCATGCACACACGCACGCTCTCATACGCACGCACTCACACGCACGCTCGTGTCCACAGCTAACGCAGCAGCAGCAGAAGAAGGCCGTGTTTGTGGATTTCCGGGAGTCGGAGCTCAGCTTCCCTCCCACCTACAAGTACGACCCGGGCACTGACAACTGGGACACGAGGTGAGCGAGCGAGCGAGCGAGTAGGCCCTGTTTAATCCTGTAGTGTATGTGTGTCCTGCGCTAGTGGGGAGCGGTAGTCTTGCGGTTATCGTGCTGCTCTATGAACCCGATGACCCGAGTTCGATTCCCGCTCACGGCCAACACCGGTGACGATTTTCTGAACCGGTCCTGGGCCTCCCCTCGGCTGACTCGGCCTCAAATGAGTACCTGGTGCGGTGTGTAAACATTGCCACAAGGGAGACAAAGGCGGCCGGGCGTTGTGTTGGCCACCCACCCACCGGCCTTCATAGGTGCTACTCGCTAACAGCACTTGCCCAAACAGTCTGTGTTAAGGCTATACGTGGGGTCTTTGTCTTTGCCCTGCGCTACAAACGGGCGCATGTGATGCCTCCAAGTGGCCTGTATGTATGCATGTACGTTGAACTTCTTTCGCACCATACGCAGCCAACCGTGCTCGTCGGGGGGCTGGGCTGCCTTGGATTGCCAAGTGGCGGCGATGAGCTTCGGGAAGAGGCGATGGCTTACGCCACAGCGATGCGCTTTATTTACCAGGGGAATTCCTGAGTTCTCGAGGCTGGCCTTCGGGAGGTTTCTGCATTGGGATGTTTGGCCAAGTCAATGAACGCAGACTCCGGCACTGGCTCTAACCGTACGGGGGAATGGTGATTGTAGGGATGTATGTTAAACTTCTTTCGACGCCGTATGTGTGTGCCCTGCGCTACAAATCCGGCGGCCCGAGTTCACACCCCACCTCCCCTAGGTCCACTCAGCCTTAAACATGAGTAACCTTGTGTGCTGTGTCAACACCACCCCGACATGTGACGTGTGCCGGCCTTCGTGGGTGCTACTCGCTAACAGCACTTGCCCCAACAGTCTGTTGAAGGCCATATACGGGTGATCTTTATGTTTATGCGTTATATATTGTGCGTACACGTGTTGTGTGTACGTGTGCATTGTATTGTAAGTACACGTGTGCCATGTCCCGTGCCCGTGTTCCGTTCGGTGCGTACACGTGTGTCGCTCGTGCACGCGTGTCACGTGTGTGACCCGTACACGCTTATCACGTGTGTCACGCGCGTGTGTGTAGCTGCGCACATGCCGCCCGGTGCACACACACGTGTCACGTATATACGTGTGTGACGCGTACACGTGTGCCATGTGTGTGGCTGTGCCACGTGGGGCAGTGAGAAGGGCCGTGCCCCAGCGTGGTGCGACCGCGTGCTGTGGCGTGGTGACGGTGTGGTGCCGCGTGCCTACCGCAGCCACCCGTGCCTGCGCACGAGCGACCACAAACCCGTGAGCGCGGCGCTGGACGTGACGGTGAGCCAGCACGGACAGCTCAACCCACCCACCCACCCACACACCCATTAACCCAATCACTTATCCACCCACCTATCTACCCATCCATCCGCCCACTCACATACTCACTCACTCACCCACCTATCCACCCACTCATTCCCCATTTCACCCACACACCCATCCACTCATTCATCCTTTCACCCACTCACTCAGCAACCAACCCATCCACTTCACAACTCTGAAGGCCCCCTTGTGCCCCAGTGCCAATGTGTATGCACTGCACCAGGTACTCGTTTTAAGGCTGAGTTGTGTCTAGGGGAGACCCAGGACCGGTCTAGATATTCGGCACCAATGTTGACTGTGAGCCGTAATTGAAGTCTGGTCGCTGGGTTCGTGGCGCCGTGCGCTAACTGCTGCGCCACCACTCCCCACAGTGCCCGCCATGTGCGCCTATGTACATACCTGTACATTAATTTACCTAGATAGCGAATCCTTGCCATTGCTTATTCCTGTCTCTTGAGTTTTCCCACTATGGACCATCCTCATCCTTGAGACTCAGTGAGGTGTTTGTGAGTAAATAAGCGCCATGTTAATAATAATAATAATAACAACAATAATTCAGAAGCCTGGTCATTACCATTCATGAGTGTTTGGCTTCACCTGGGAGGAAACCAAAGCACTCAGAGAGGATGATGATGATGACGATGATCACGATAATGACGATGCTGATGATGATGCTGGCGATGCTGCTGAATAATGATAATGCTGATGATGATTTTACTGACGATGATGATGCTGTATTGCAGGTAAGCATGGTGGACCAGCTGCGCTATGATGATGCTGTTGACGATTTTTATGCTGTTGACGATTTTGATGCTGTTGATGATGATGACGCTGACGATGATGACGCTGACGATGATGACGCTGACGATGATGATGATGACGATGATGACGATGATGACGCTGACGACGATTATGATGACGACGATGATGATGCTGAATAATAATAATGCTGAATGATGATGCTTCTGACGACGATGATGCTGATGAAGCTACTGCTGCGGATGATGGGCTTCAGGTGAACGTAATAGACCAGCTGCGCTATGGGAGCGTGCACGACGAGGTCATCCGCCAGCTGGACCGATTAGAGAATGAGTTCCTGCCCTCGGTGCTGCTCAGCTGCGTGGAGGTGAGAGCCGGCATGCCACGGCCGTGGGCCGGACACGGGACACCACCACCGGCCTTTGACGGGTCCTCATCATCATCAGGGCATCACGGTTTCTAGGAGATGTTATCTACTTCTCCTGGTATACAGGAAGTCGTGGGTTTGATCCCGACTCTGATGCCTGCTGTATATTTGGAGTTTGCATGTCTCTCTTTCCCCCTGGTCACGTGGATTTTTCTCCGCTTTCTCCACATTGAGAATCAACATCACGCGTTTAGAGTATTTGGCTGCTGTACATTTCCACGTGACGGCAATGAGCCCCTTCGTTGAGCTATCATTACTGGCCAGGGCGCGTCTGAAAAAATAGCTACGTAGCTCAGTGGGCCTTGCCTGTCAATAAACAAATAATAATAAAACAATGATTTACATTTATTTGTAAAACCATCAGCCATGATCTATCCACTGCTGGATGAAGGGCTGCCTGAACCATCGCCATCTCTCACCGTCCCGCGATGTCACGAATCGCCGATTTCATCGAGCGCAAGAGCCGATTTCATCGGTATTTGTCCGACCCCTTCCGCACACTGGCGACACGTCCGGGAAGACTTGGGGCGCACCCACGCTTTACCCCACCACGCACAACCTTCCAGTCGACTGGAGAGGAGCTGGGAGATTTACTCGAACGCGACGACCGCTGGATGGCGAGTGCCTTGCGCTGTGACCGTTCCACCGCTGCCGTGTAATGCGTATCGAACGCACGGGAAGACAATCCCTGGTATATTTTTTTCTGTGTATTTTGACAGCTTTTTCTTGCCGTGGTGTCAAGAATAAATTAGCAGACGCGGTCTGCAGTAGTTTCACAGTAGGGGGGGTGGGGGGTGACGTTCCTGCATTTAAACCCAATTGAGTAATTTGCGGGTCAGTTTTCAAATTTGGCAAATTTGGATTCTGACGCCGGGCACGCGATGGCCGACTCACGGGGATCTCTGACGGCCATGTGAAGTGGAGCGGCGCGGGGTATTTTACAGTTTAAATCACCCACACCAGTAACCCGGGTGGGCGGCCTGTCGGATTCGAACCGCGAACCTCGGCAAAGAGTGGAGAATGTTAGGGCCACCGCTGGGGCCACCGCTGGGGCCACCGCTGGGGCTACCGCTGGGTCCACCGCACGCGGCCCAACGTGTAACCATGCTCGCCCCCCGTGCGCAGGTGCGGGCAGCCGGGCATAGCGCCTCCGATTAGCACGGTCGGCTACGTGCGGTGCGAAAGAAGTCCAACGTACTTTACATACAATCACCATTCCCCATACGGTTACAGTCAGTGCTTGGAGTCTATGATCATCGGCTTGGCCAAACATCCCAATGCAGTAACCCTCCCGTGGGCCAGCCTTGAGAGCTCTGGCTTTCCTGGACGCATAAAGCGCATCGCTGTTGCGTAAGCCATCGCCTCTTCTCATGGCTCATCGCCGCCACTTGGCAATCCCAGACGGATCAGCGCCTCCGACGAGCACGGTCGGCTGCATGCGGTGCGAAGGAAGTTCAACGTGCAATACAGCGAGGCGTACTTTACATACCTAGCGGACGTCATAGTGACATCGCCGTGTGCAGTTCTCCTTCCCAGCGGTGAAGTTCCGGCAGCTACGCACGGAGACGCTGCTGATCCGCAACGACGGACAAGTGCCGTGCACCTTCGAGTTCGTGCCCAAGCTCAACGACACGAACTACTGCAAGCCCTGGCTCAGCGTGAAGCCCAACAAGGGCTTCATCATGAAAGGTGGCCCCTCGTCTGCTACTCTACCCCTCTGCCCCTCTGCCCCTCTGCCACCGTACATATCGGTACGCTCTGCTCCGCATGGCGCTAAAGCCAATCCACTGCTGAGCAAGGGCCTCCCCTCGCCGTGTGGACCGTGCGGGTTATTTGACCACAACGCAGGTACCTGTGGGTTGGTGACCGCGGGGAGCATAGACACTGGAGTGTTGTACAGTGCAACAATGGATTTTGCTACACCGCCTTCTTCTGACAGAGTAGGTCCACAACAGCCTATAACACGTGTTTTACACAGATCAACCTATAACACGTGTTTTACACAGATCAACCTATAACACGTGTTTTACACACATCAACCCTACGTGTGCATGATGTATCCTTACTTGTTACTTGTGCTGTCACTCACTTCATCACTCACACCGCCACTCACTTTGTCACTCACTTCATCACTCACTTCGTCACTCACTTCGTCACTCCGTCACTCACTTCGCCACTCACTTCGCCACTCACTTCATCACTCACTTCGTCACTCACTTCGTCACTCACTTCGTCACTCACTTCATCACTCACTTCGCCACTCACTCCGTCACTCACTTCATCACTCCGTCACTCACTTCATCACTCACTTCGTCACTCACTTCGTCACTCACTTCGTCACTCACTCCGTCACTCACTTCGTCACTCACTTCATCACTCACTTCGTCACTCACTTCGTCACTCACTTCATCACTCACTTCGTCACTCACTTCATCACTCACTTTGTCACTCACTTCGTCACTCACTTCGTCACTCACTTCATCACTCACTTTGTCACTCACTTCGTCACTCACTTCGTCACTCACTTCATCACTCACTCCGCCTCTCACTTCGTCACTCACTTCGTCACTCACTTCGTCACTCACTTCGTCACTCACTTCATCACTCCGTCACTCACTTCGTCACTCACTTCGTCACTCACTTCGTCACTCACTTCATCACTCACTTCATCACTCACTTCATCACTCACTCCGTCACTCACTTCATCGCGCACGCCGCCGCCGTTGTTTCCCGGCACGCAGGGGAGCAGGTGGCGGTGGCCATCGAGGTCTACGTGAACCAGGAGATGGCGTCGCTGCTGGGCGGCGGGCAGGGCCGCTGCCTGGACGACATCCTGGTACTGCACCTGCAGGACGGCCGCGACCACTTCCTCATCATCACCGGCTCCTACACCGAGAGCTGCTTCGGCGCCTCGCTCTCGACTCTGTGCCACTCCACGCAGCCCCTCGCCCTGGTCAGTATGCATGTTGTGTGTGTGTTGTATGTATATGTGTTGAACGTCTTCCGCACCATACGCGGCCAACCGTGCCAATCGGAGGTGTGCGGGGAAGGACAACAAACTAAATGCAAAAAGCGGTTTTCAAGAAATTAGTTTGTCAATCTGGATGATGATGATGATTTAAAAGAGCATAGCGCCAGTGGCTTCCTAATATTGGAAGGAAGGGCGTTCCTGACGATTGCAGAAGCGCATCTGAAAGCCTGCGATGAGGTGACCGTCTTTATTCGATGGTTGGCCAAAAAGCCGCTGCTGCTGCTGCTGCGACGATGACCTGAGTTCGCTTGATGGTTTATGCTTCTTTATTATATTGGCAAGGTATTGTGGTTCATTTGTGTAATGGGTGCGACCTATATAACGTATTTTTTGGCAACAGGAAGCCAATGCAGCTCAGCGAGCAGGGACGGACATGGACGAATCTTGGAGTACCCGTCACGACACGTACCAAAGAATATTGTACACGCCGCAGCTTGCAAATGTTGCGACGAGGAATTTTTCCCCAAACTTGGTCCAGATTTGCGCGCCGGTTGTGCTGTCTGCGTCACTTTGCGCGATGATGGATCCATCTGGAGCCCTCTCAGAGCGGTGCAACCATTTGCGATGAGAGAACGGACCGCGGAAGCGGATGCTTCGGATCTACTCCAGACAGATCCCCTTTTTTCTTCAAGTGACCTTTGCTCCCACCGTGCTGCGCGGGGTCATGCTCATCGCATCACAGCCGCACCAGTGTTGTTAATTATCGCAGCTGGAATTATGGGGGTGTTCTTTTCATTCAGCGAGCAGCGAGTGGGCCGAGTCCATCAACTGGTCACGTGGGAGAGCGCGGATTTCTCATCGCAGGCAGTGGCTGAAACCCAGATTGGAACCCAGGGTCCCGGGGGTGCTCTGGCCGAGCCCTCTGACCTCTGAGCCAAACGATCGACGATTTTTCTGTCGCTGGCTTGGTGGGAAAGAGCGCCGTTCCACTCTCCTCCTCCCCCCACCCTCCCCCACCCTCCCCCACCCTCCCCCACCCTCCCCCCACCCTCCCCCTCCCTCCCCCACCCTCCCCCACCCTCCCCCACCCTCCTGCGTGCGCGTGACGCAGGTGAACACGCACGATGTGGGGGAGCAGAGCAGTGCGCAGGACATTCCCAAGGAGATGTGGATCCTCGTGAACCACCTGTACCGCAACGCGCTCACGCAGGTACGGACCGGCGGCGGCATGCGGGCGAGCGAACGAGCCGGTGGGGAGAGCGTCTGCTGACGATTACGCAGTCTGCTGGCATTGGGGCCCTTTCGTCCAATCCACTGCTGGATGAGGGCCTTTCCACGCCGGTTTTGTGTGCAGTGCGGTGGTTACCCGTCCTAGCGCCGTCCCAGGCTCTCTACCCTGCTTGAAAAATTGTGGGTGCATTTCCGTGGCGATTTCGTCAAAGGCTGGTTCCTACAAGTTAATTGTCGCAAGCAGTAAACAAAAAATTTAATTACATTGCTAGGCCAGGTGGTGACACCTGTCCTCCGGTTGGTTGTCAGGCCAACCAAAGGGAACATTCGACGGCCGCAAGCCGCCTGCGTAAGCAACGCTTGGAGCACACAGTGAGCGTGTGAGCCCACGGACGAAGGCGCCGCATATGGCACTATAAATGTGAGACAGATGTTTTGCACTGTCCAAGCTCCACCACTCATTGCCTCACCAGTGAAGATGGAATTTCGTGAATGATTCGCCTGGGCAGGCTCCATCTAGGGATGCCTGACTGCCTGCTGATATTTCAAAGTGTCCTCCTACCAAGCGAGTCCCCCGCAGTCTTCAGAACGGGTTCTGTGTGTTCGTGCAGAAGCCTGTTTCTAATGGCGCTTCGTCAACAACACTGGCGTGTGTTTGCGTCAGTGTGCAGTTGTGTTTATTGATATTAGTTGAGTGTGCGGGGGGAACGGTAGTGCAATGGTTAGTGCGCTGCGCTATGAACCTGGTGGCCCGAGTTCGATTCCCGCTCACAGCCAACACCAGTGACGTTTGCCAGAATTGGTCCTGGTGCCTCGCCACCACCCGACACAGCCATACTAGTAAGGGTCGTCACGTAAACAGAACGTGGCCAATTCGTCACTAGTACAGCACACCGGTGTGTTGGAGAGCCAAGCCACAACATTTACAAACTGAGTACGACGTTTCACCAGTAATTACAACTAGCTTCATCAGGCGACAGCCAGATTTGTGGAGAAGTCTTACTGTTTCGTTCCTTATATAGAGGCGTAGATGTGGTGACCACCCTTCTGCGCTCTTGCACAATGTGGGGGAGGGGGGATTGCTGAGGCAACGTACATTATGAATGTGCATTACGCGAGCCCTTTGAACTTGTTGTTCCTGTCTATTGTGTCTAAAGAACACTTGTTTCTTGTGGCAAGGTGACTTTTATAAACAAAAGGAAGGAGCAGCAATGGGTTCTCCTTTGTCTCCTGTGATAGCGAATTTGTATATGGAATATTTTGAAACAAAAGCAATAGCTTCAAGCACACTAAAACCATCTGTGGGAGACACATTGGTGGTCTGGCCACACGGCAAAATACACTGAACGCATTTCTAAATCATTTCAACTCGCAAAATCCATCCATCCAGTTCACCATGGAACAGGGTAGAAATGGTCAAATAAGGAGGTACCATGGTGTAGCTTCTGTAACATGTTGAATTTTACTTCTCAGACTGTCACCATCTGACACTTTCTTAGCTGGATGAATGAGCATCTTGATAAGAGCAGATTTCTGTGTGGGGTGATGGTGTGACTCTGCATTCAGATAGGCGTCAGTTTGCGTTTTCTTTGGTTCAGTGCTGACAGGCCATGTGGCCAGATGACGGACGTGTCATCTACGTATCTCTTCCACAAGGAGGGACGTAGGGTGGATGTCTGGATGGAATCTGTCTCAAATTTATCTATGAAAATATTCGCTACCACTGGCGATAAGGGAGAACCCATTGGAGTACCCTCATTTTTTTGTAGAATGTACCATTCCAGGTGAAGTAAGTGTTCATATTCTTAGTTCTTTCGGTAAAGTAACGTTGAAGGGAAACAACAAAATAATAAAATATATATAAAACAATAAAAATTCTCACGACGTTTCGACCATAACACAAACGGTCGTCTTCAGGTATGTCGGTTTGCATAAATTTATTTATTTTAAAACGGTGTATTTATTTATTTATAATAAAAAAAAAACGTTAGCGCCACGCGCAGCGATTTGGCAGTTTATTTAGATGGACTAGTCCATCTATGTTCTGAAAAGAGGAGGGGGGAGACGATTTTTTTTAATGTATGCTGTCTGAAAGCCACTGTAAGCGTGAACAATCAATTAAGACCTGAAATGGTTTATCAAATCTTTCCAATGATTGCTAAGCCAGAATCCATCTTCTCGGTTGAAATTGTCTCTGTGCTTGTATATGTGGATAGCCTCATGAACGAATCTCTCATGGTAGCCAGATGGCTTACAAAGAACCTCTGTCTTGGAAAGTCAATGGCATGTGAGCCTACTGAATTATAACAATGATCTGCCACGGCCGAGGTGTTGGTCCTACCGTGTTTAAGGTCTGCTTTGTGTTCACGAATGCGGTCCGAGACATGGCGTTTGGTTTCTCCAATGTAACTACTACCACAGAGGCAACTTAGTTTGTAGACACCAGGGTATTGTATGTCCGGAATCACATCTTTTACAGACGGAACCAGATCACGGATTTTATGTAATGTGTTGAAACGGACCTGGATCTTGTGTTTATTCAAGATTTTGGAGATCTTTTTTGTGATCCCTGCAATGTAGGAGCTGTGAGGTGTGATGACGTCATGTCACGGGCGCTGAAAGGTGTAATGACGTCATGTCATGGGCGCCGTAAGGTGTAATGACGTCATGTCATGGGTGCCGCAAGGTGTGATGACGTCATGTCATGGGTGCTATAAGGTGTGATGACGTCATGTTATGGGCGCTGTAAGGAGACACCTTCGAGAACAGGGGCGGGTCCGAGTGAAGGGGGAGGAGCCGCCCAAGGGGTACTTAAGGGGGACCCCGTGACGAAGGCGGGGTCGTTGTGGGAGCCCCGGGGCGGGGTCGTTGTGGGAGTCCCGGGGCGTGGTCGTTGTGGGAGCCCTGGGGCGTGGTTGTTGTGGGAGCCCCGGGTTGTGGGAGCCCCGGGGTGTGGATCGGCCCCAGGAGGTCTCTCCTCCCGCTCGTGACCGGACGGTGTTGGCTGAACCCCCGTCCGGGGTGGACGAGTGGGAGAGCCGCAGAGATAGCCGAGAGAAGGGCTCGAAGGAGCCTGTGAGAATCGGCTGGGAGTGAGTGGGGTTCTTCTCTCCTTGGCCGGGCGGTGTTGGATGAACCCCCGTCCCGGTCCGAGTGAGAGAGCCCAAGGGATAGCCGAGGTTAGGACGAGCAGAGCTTTGGGGTCCACGGGAAGGACCGAGCAGAGAGAACACGTACCCCCCTGGTGTGAGCCGAGTGTTGAAACCGCGTTAATAAACGGCGAAAGCCCTTACAAGAAGTTCCGTCTCCGCGTGGCTCTACGACGCAACATAATGAACGAAGCAGGAAGACTTCTCCACAAATCTGGCTGTCGCCTGATGAAGCTAGTTGTAATTACTGGCGAAACGTCGTACTCAGTTTGTAAATGTTTGTGGCTTGGCTCTCCAACACACCGGTTAGTGCTGTACTAGTGACGAATTGTCACGTTGTTTACGTGACAACCCTTACTGGTTGGCTTTGTCGGGTGGTGGCGGGTTTAACAACACATTTATATATTTACGGGATCTAACCCAAAAACCTCTATTATGGTGGAGGGGTCTCCTATTGCTCCATTCATGGACGATATATACACACACCTCCTTCTTCCTCCTGCACGCGATGTTGTAGTTGTTGTAGTTGTGATTGTAGTCATTGTTGTGGTTGTTATTGTTGATTTTGTGGTTGTTGTTGTGCTTGTTATAGTTGTGGTTGGTATTGTGGTTGGTGTTGTAGTTGGTGTTGTGGTTGTAGTTGTTGTGGTTGTAGTTGTTGTGGTTTTAGTTGTTGTGGTTTTAGTTGTTGTGGTTTTAGTTGTTGTGGTTTTAGTTGTTGTGGTTTTAGTTGTTGTGGTTGTATTTGTTGTTCTGGTGTTGTTGTGGTTGTGATGCGGTTGTTGGGAGTGGTCCCCACTGTGACCATGGCAGCAGAGAAGAGCCAGTGCTTCTGGTGCGGAGCTCCACTGCTCCACCGCTCCCCCTCGACACCTTGTGCCGTTGGGTAGCGCCGGTGCTCCGTTTCGGCCGATGGAGGAGGCGAGCTCACGTGGATCCGGTGGGGGGGCAGAGATTAGGATTTTGCCGAGATCATCTCCGCGTGGTGTTTCCCCAGGAGGATCTGTTCCAGCAGCCGGGCCTCACCGCCGAAATGGAGGAGATCCGAGATTGCCTCGACACCGACATCCCCGACACGCTCCGTATCCTTTCCGCCGGTGTAAACACACGCACACATGCACGTGCACACACGCGCACGCTCGCGGGTTCATCCACCCCCGCGTGGTCGTGCACACACGTGGCATTGGGGGGAGGGCTTCACCCAGCAGTGGATTGACCGAGGGCTGTAACTGGCGTGGGCAAGAGGAGAGATCCATCCTTCCCGGATTTGATCCGAGCGAGACGTGGAAGCGAGGAACTCGAGAGTCGATTCTCGAATCCGACCGCGCTCTGAATCGTCGTGACCGCTCGTAGAATCGCCGGTCAGGGGTGACCGGTGACGCCTCGACCCAGGGGGCTTGGGCTTCACGGCTCGTGCGGCGTTGGTGAACTGCTCGGTTTTGAGCTGGCCAGGCGATGGTGGCACTGCAATTATAGGCTCTTGAACGTGTCCGTGCAACAGCCTCGTTGGGTGTTCTCCGCAAATGTTGCTCGTTGGAAAAGTTTGCGGTTTGAACCTGGCAGGCCGCGCTAGTTATTACTACGGGTATATCGACCTTGAAATACCACATTAGATGTTAAAGATCCCGTAATGTCACTCAAAAAGAGTAGCGCCATTATGTACCTGCTTTTTGTTTCAAATTAACAAAAAATTGCCCGCAAATGATTCACTTGGCATCACGCACAGCAACATCACCCCCTACTGTGAAACTACTGCAGACTGTCTATAGAACACAGCAGCGCCTTACTTCGAGATTGTCTGAAGTGATAAGAATAGCACAAATACACCAAATGTACTAACTTATAATGGTTAGTATAATAATGGTTAGTATAATAATGCTTAGTATTATAATGGTTAGTATAATAATGGTTAGTATAATAATGGTTAGTATAATAATGGTTAGTATTATAATGGTTATTCTCCGGGTCTTCCGGTTTTTCCCTCCACATTTAGAAACAACATCACGTTTAGAGTATTTGGCTGCTGTACATTTGCACGTGGTGATGAGCCACTTGGTTGGACTATCATGTGTAGCCAGATTGCTTCTGAAAAAGATCTATACAGCTCAGTGAGCCTTACCTGGTAAAATTTAAATAGTTTATCATTTTACATGCGGGAAGAAACCTCCTCGTGTACGTGCGTGGGTCGTGTACGTGGGGAATACTCCATGTGCACGTGGGGAATACTCTGTGTGTACATGGGGAGTCCTCCGAAAGGCGCGTGGGGAATACTCCGTGTGTACGTGGGGAATACTCCGTGTGTACATGGGGAGTCCTCCGTGTGCACGTGGGGAATACTCCGTGTGCACGTGCGGAGTCCCCCGTGTGTACGTGGGGAGTCCTCAGTGTGCACGTGGGGAGTCCTCCGTGTGCACGTGTGTGGGTAGTGTGCAAGGGGCGCTGCCGACGTGGTGCTGGGAGCGTGGGAGCCTTTGCGTGGCTGTTTCCTGAGCCCCGAGCAGCTGGGAGTAACCACTCGGTGGCCGAGTCGCTGCTCATGTTCCTGGAGGCGCTGGCCGAGCCCGTGGTGAGCTGCGAGCTCTACGGGCAGTGCCTCGACAAGGCGGGCAGTGCCTCACAGAGCAGCCAGGTGGGGTTACACCGCGCCGCAGTACACACCACAGTACACGCCGCACCTCAGCACACCGCACAATACAGCGGCACACCACAGCACACACCACAGCTCAGGACACTGCACCACAGTGCAGCGCAGTACACCCCATAGCACCGCGGCACTGTACACGGCTACACACAGCTCCACACCGTGCCACACTGCACCACTGTATGCCACACTGCAGCATAATCTCTCGCTGTCCATCAGCTCATAATACAGCAGCTGCCTGAATTACACTTTGTGCAAAGTCAGTAAGTATCGACCCCCAAAACGACAAGATGCCAGCAACAAACAGCGCTATCAACGTTTTAATGAATACAATATTTTATTGAGTAACTTGGGAAAAGGGAAGATGGGAGGGAATTCCAAAGTGGAGCAGTGCGAGGGAAGAAGCCCAAGAGTCATGCGGTGACCGGTAGTGTGGTGAGTGGGCGAGAGGGCGAGTGGGCGAGAGGGTGAGCGATCGATAGGGCGATCGGGCGAAAGGTCGAGAGGGTGAGCAGGCGAAAGGGCGAGAGGGAGAGTAAGTTGTTGTGACCGATGTTTGAACGCAGTGTGGCTGAGACGAAGTAGTCAGTGTTTGGCAGTCCGAGTCCTCAATATGGGCGGAGTGGAAGAATGGGCGAGTGAGGTTCATGGGATGAGTAACCGCGGTAGCAGCAGCAAGAGAAGAGCGATCGGGAGGCGACCGATCGCCGGTGAGTAACCGAGTGATATCACCTTGTCACATCTGCACGATGGTGCCACGCGAATCGCACATCATTTAGAAGGATGTGTAACCCCTCCTCCCCAGTCCTTGTCATTAACATCGTCGTCGTCATCGTCGTCGGTGGTGCACGGCGCACTGTGCGGTCATTGTTGTGGAAGTGGCATTGAGCGTTGTTCCTCCTCGTCCCCCTCAACGCCCCCTCCCCCCCCAACCCTCCCCCTTCCTTCTCCTCCCCCTCGCCCTGCCGCCTCTTCACCACCAGGTGATTCAGCAGCTGCCCCGCTGTCACCTGAACACCTTCCGCTATCTCATGGCGTTCCTCAGAGAGTTGCTCAAGCACTCGGAGGATAACGGGGTCGAACCAAAGTTGCTCGGTAAGACGTTGATTTGCGTTTTGTTCGTCATCCCACGGGGGGGGAGGGGGGGGGCGGTGGCAGGGTGCTGGTGTAAGCGGCGACGCTCGTCGCCTCACAGCAAAGAAGGGGGCCTGGGTTCGATTCCCGACTCGGGCGCTTGTCCCGTGTGGGGTGTTGCGGTGCTCCCCAGCCCGTCGTTCTGCGTGGGTTTCCTCCGGCTTCTTCGGTTTCGTCCTCTCAAAGTAAAAGCCCCCACAATGTAACCGGTCAGTCCACAAGTCGAGTAAATGGCCCGATGATGCTGGATGTAGTCGCCAGCGAAACGTCAAAGTTTCTCTAATTGTGAATGTTGTGGGTTTACTCTCCAACACACCCGTGGGGCTGCAGTAGTAACTAAGTTGCAAGTTTTGTTTACGTGACAAACCTTACTCATTGGCTGTGTCGGATGGTGGCGGGTTAACAACATATTTATACCAACGCGATCTAACCCCCAAAAATGTTTGACCTTTATTATGAATGTAACCGGTGTTGGCCTAACATTCCAATGCTCAGAAATCACCCGAAAATTACTCAGCTGGGCTCAAACAGAGCAGCAGCAGCAGCAACATTGCCCCCTGCTAAGAAAACTCGGCTAGGCCCTCCTGGAAAAGTCACGATCATCCCCATGAACAATCATCTCCTCATCGTCATCATCATCGTAATCATCATCTTTACCACCATCATAACCATAAACCTCATCTCCCATCATCATCATCTTCGATCACGCTTGTAACGATGATCCACGACGAACAGAAACCCGAGTGCGAAGTTAAGTTGCATCTTCGCGACGCACTCGGGAGACAGCCGGCCACGCGGATCGAAGAGTTTCCCAAAACTTGGGAGAGACACAAACCGGAGAAAAAAGGGGAACTTTCGGATAGTCAACTCCCCAGCTCCCCGTCGGCTGAACACGCGGCTTAGTTAGACAACGTCCATTGCGTGTTTGGAATCGCCCCGTGCACCCCGCGCGCCCGTTCCTTACAACCGTTTTTAACGAACCGTCGCACGCCCCCTCCTCGTTTGCCGCCCCCGTCGCCACCGCCCCCCCCTCCCCGAACCCCCCTGCCCCCCCCCCCCAGCGACGGTGTTCGGGGGCCTGCTGCTCAGGCCGCCGGGCAAGCGGCGGGCGCTGAGTTGCCTGGAGAAACAGAAAGCCGCCGACTTCATCTTCAACTTCCTGCTGGAGGCATCCTCGGCCGACTGAGTCCCGGCTCGCAGCGAGCGGCGGCTCGTGCGGCGGGGTTGGCTCTCCGTTAGAACATCGACAGGACCAGGGTTATCAACTTTTTTTGCCCGGAGGCCTAGCCCCCCCCACCCCCCCCTCCCCGCCCCCCCGCGGTGGGGCCCACTGGCCCCGACGCAACATTTCGCCCCTCTTCGTCCGGCGCCTGGGCCTCTCCGCCCCCATAGGCCCCTGGCGCGCAGTCGCGACCGCCTGCGTCACCTGATAACTAACGCCGCTTAAGCTTCCGAGACGCATACGCACGTGCGCACGAGGAGAGAGAGAGAGAGACGCATGGACCCGTTGAGTCTCCCTCTGCTGTCGGTGCTGCAAGCAAACCGCCGCCACATTGTGAAGACATCCCGCTCGGGCTGTGGCTGCTGCAATGGGCAGGTGCGGTTACTCGCTGGGTGAAGGCTGTCCAGCACCAGCTGGTCCAAAATCGACACCCGCTGACTTAACAGCTCGAGGTGACGTTTTTTTTGTTTTCTTCAAACAAACGTTTAAATACAATTGAACAATCGCAGTTCTAATTTTGATGTCGAGCGGCGGCGCTCCGGACACGCTGCATGAGTTCGATTCCCGGTCGAGGCTAACATCGGTGGCGACATCCATACCAGTCCTTTAAACCCGTGCTGAGATCCCTTTGTTAATCGTGTTAAGGCCATCCGTGCGGATTCCACACGCAAATATATATATATAAAAACGTATACCATGTCACGACACTGTATGTAAATAATTCACATTTTTATTTTGCGTGTATTGTAATATCAATCTAATCAATAATCAAATCTGTTAAGTGATAAACGAGCGGGGTATCCATACGTGAGCCGCTATGAGGATGAAACCGGCGCACCGTCGTCCACCGCTGCATCGCGGCTGCTGCAGTCGCTCGCATCTCACCGCGGACCAGAGGGGGGACACCACGAGGCATTCCTTCAGGAACTGCGTTGTCGTTTATTTCCTTGTTGCTTGTGCACAAAGGCGGCGAGCGTGCTTTTTCACAATCATCTCCGTGTGAGCCGTCGTTCGCTTGACGCTGCACGGAGCCCCCTGTTGTGCGGTGCTTACATTGGGTTTGAACTCCTCCTGGTGTGTGTGTGTGTGTCTGTACACCACCTGGTGTGTGTGTGTGTCTACACCACCTGGTGTGTGTGTGTGTCTGTACACACCTCCTGGTGTGTGTGTGTACACCTGGTGTGTGTGTGTGTGTGTGTCTGTACACCTCCTGGTGTGTGTGTGTGTGTCTGTACACCTCCTGGTGTATGTGTGTGTGTCTGTACACCTCCTGGTGTATGTGTGTGTGTCTGTACACCTCCTGGTGTGTGTGTGTGTCTGTACACCACCTGGCGTGTGTGTGTGTACACCTTCTGGTGTGTGTGTGTGTGTGTCTGTACACCACCTGGTGTGTGTGTACACCTCCTGGTGTGTCTGTACACATCCTGGTGTGTGTGTACACCTGGTGTGTGTGTGTCTGTACACCACCTGGCGTGTGTGTGTGTCTGTACACCTCCTGGCGTGTGTGTGTGTGTGTGTCTGTACACCTCCTGCTGTGTGTGTGTGTCTGTACACCTCCTGGTGTGTGTGTGTGTCTGTACACCTCCTGGTGTGTTTGTGTGTACACCTCCTGGTGTGTGTGTGTCTGTACACCTCCTGGTGTGTGTCTGTGTGTGTACATCTCCTGGTGTGTGTGTGTGTGTACACCTCCTGGTGTGTGTGTGTGTCTGTACACCTCCTGGTGTGTGTGTGTGTCTGTACACCACCTGGTGTGTGTGTGTCTGTACACCTCCTGGTGTGTGTGTGTGTGTCTGTACACCTCCTGGTGTGTGTGTCTGTACACCACCTGGTGTGTGTGTGTGTGTCTGTACACCTCCTGGTGTGTGTGTGTGTGTGTCTGTACACCTCCTGGTGTGTGTGTGTACATCTCCTGGTGTGTGTGTGTACATCTCCTGGTGTGTGTGTGTGTGTGTACACCTGGTGTGTGTGTGTGTGTCTGTACACCTCCTGGCGTGTGTGTGTGTGTGTGTCTCTACACCTCCTGGTGTGTTTGTGTGTGTGTGTGTCTGTACACCTCCTGGTGTGTGTGTGTGTCTGTACACCTCCTGGTGTGTGTGTGTGTCTGTACACCTCCTGGCATGTGTGTGTCTGTACACCTCCTGGTGTGTGTGTGTGTCTGTACACCTCCTGGTGTGTGTCTGTGTCTGTACACCTCCTGGTGTGTGTCTGTGTACACCTCCTGGTGTGTGTGTGTATCTGTACACGTCCTGGTGTGTGTGTGTGTGTGTACACCTCCTGGTGTGTGTGTGTCTGTACACCACCTGGTGTGTGTGTCTGTGTCTGTACACCACCTGGTGTGTATGTCTGTGTCTGTACACCTCGTGGCATGTGTGTGTGTCTGTACACCTCCTGGCTTGTGTGTGTGTGTCTGTACACCTCCTGGCATTGTGTTTGTGTGTCTGTACACCTCCTGGTGTGTGTGTGTGTGTCTGTACACCTCCTAGTGTGTGTGTCTGTACACCTCCTGGCGTGTGTGTGTCTGTACACCTCCTGGTGTGTGTGTGTGTGTATATATACACCTCCTGGTGTGTGCGTGTGTACACCTCCTGGTGTGTGTGGCATGTGTGTGTATGTACACCTCCTGGCGTGTGTGTATGTACACCTCCTGGCGTGTGTGTGTGTATGTACACCTCCTGGCGTGTCTGTACACCCCCTGGCGTGTGTGTACACCTTCTGGCGTGTGTATATACACCTCCTGGCGTATGTGTGTGTGTACATCTCCTGGCGTGTGTGTGTACATCTCCTGGCGTGTCTGTACACCTCCTGGCATGTGTGTACACCTCCTGGCGTGCGTGTGTGTACACCTCCTGGCGTGTGTGTACACCTCCTGGCGTGTGTGTACACCTCCTGGCGTGTGTGTACACCTCCTGGCGTGTGTGTACACCTCCTGGCGTGTGTGTGGGTCTGTACACGCTATGTATAGTTCCACGTGCACACACAAAAGTCGCGGAGTGGACAGCTTGCGGGGTAGAGCTCCTGAGAGGTTATCCGAGTGAAGTCGTACACGAGTTGGATTAGCAGTTCAAATAATACCATTATTTCTTTTTTTGCGGCAGCTTTCGCACAAACAGAATGTCCCACAGAAAAGCGCGCTGCTGTACGATCCGAGACGACGTGAGATTACGAGCGAGGAATGATGACTACTGAAAGAAATAAACACGATCGCTTGAAGGTGAAATACATTATTTGGTGCTGTTGGGACTGTTGCTGCGTTGCAGCAGTGCGCAAGGACAACTTAACAAGAAACTCGACACACTCGTCAATAACGCTGTCTTAGAAGGAACACGCGTATAATGGGCGACGTTTCAGGCAATGACCCTTCATGGCACTACACGGGAGGCAAGTAAGAACAATACATGAGCGACGTTTCTTCATGGGACATGCACGGGTGTATGTGCCATGAAGAAGGGTCATTGCCCGAAACGTCACCCATTACATTATTCCTAAGGCAGCGTTAAGTGACGAGTGAGTTGAATCATTCAAAGAGGCCAGGGAATAAGATCTGAGTTTTAAGATGAGATTTCAAGATACCATTGGCAATGGGGGTGGACGTTAGCGGTGGAGATTCCACATTCCCATAGTGGGGGCCAGTCCAGCGGGCAGCCGCTACTCACGTCCTACAAACTAGTACTCAGTTTATTGACCGTGACGATGATGTTGAACTGGTCGAGAATAACGACAGTGGCAGCCAAGGGAGAGGGAACGCCCCCTTGAGAGCACCTCGGCCACGGAGATGGAGTGATAAGTTCAACTCGTGGATGGCCGCCGAGTGGATTTGTTGCGTCGTGGGACTGCGAGAGATGGTGACGACTCGGGGAGGCCTCCATCCAACAGTAGATCAATCATGGCCAATGATGATGGGACCCACTCCCAGGGGATTTGAACTCGTGACCTCCAAGTTTGCGGGTTGCGTGCTCGGGGCACAGCTGTGCGCATCCAAAGGTCAGAGTCGGAATGCGGAATGGACGTTGCCTTGCGCTTATTTTACCCCCCAAAAAAATGCCAGCAGTCGAGCTGTTTCATTTAGTTTTTTGCAAACGTAATCTTGACGCTAAATGTCACCCCAGGTTATAAACTGCAGCGCCACTGCTCGACATGAGCGATGATGCACGCACGACTCAACCCTGGCCAGCCTCGCTGCCTGGGGGGGGGGGGGTCGAGGCGGTTGTGAGGGCCGACTTGAACGGTCCGCCAGAGCTGGACGCGGCAGGAGCGATTCTGCCACAAAGGGTCAAATGTGCAGCTTACTTAGCATTGTTGTTTTACTAGCGATTGGCGCACACTTTTATAGGTATGAGTCTAGCAAAGTACGATTTTTTATAGTTTGAAAAAAAAAAGTTTTTACTGAGAAAGTCTAAAACAATCCGTGATAATTTGGAGAAATAAGTGATAAAAAAACCCAGAGTTCTGGAGAGAACCCACACTCAGTCACACTCACCCCACTCACCCCGCTCACCCCGCTCACTCCGCTCACCCCGCTCCACGTCGCTCACTCCGTACACTCCGCTCACCCCGCTCACCCCGCTCACTCCGCTCAACCCGCTCACTCCGCTCCACGTCGCTCCCAGTGCCGTGCATGCGTCTCGTGGCGACGAAGCGACATTAAGCGACGACCTCCGTGTGGCTTGAGGAGCAAGAGAGAGTTCTTGGGAAGACGATGATGACCCCGATGACACGGATGATGATGATGATGTTGCTGAGGATGGTTATTGGCCAAGTCGCACCACCCTTCGAGGGGACTCTTGGAGAAATAACGCAGCGTCATCGCGGCCGCTATTCCGCTGTCCGTATTGCGACACGGAGTTTGTCCGTGAGCCCTCGATTGCACGGTCTGCTGCACTCACACTTGGGACGAGACGTTGGGACGAGACGTTGGGACGAGACGTTGGGACGAGACGTTGGGACGAGACGTTGGGACGAGACGTTGGGACGAGACGTTGGGACGAGACGTTGGGACGAGACGTTGGGACGAGACGTTGGGACGAGACGTTGGGACGAGACGTTGGGACGAGACGTTGGGACGAGACGTTGGGACGAGACGTTGGGACGAGACGTTGGGACGAGACGTTGGGACGAGACGTTGGGACGAGACGTTGGGACGAGACGTTGGGACGAGACGTTGGGACGAGCCCTACAAAGTGCAGCGACTGTGTGCAAGTTCGTCACACGGGAGGACATTCACTTACGGATACCCCGGTCGTTTACAATCGGCTTCTTCACTCCCAACAACCGATTTAATCTTGGGAAAATGGTGGGGCCCCTCTTATTTCACAGAAGTGGGGGGGAAAAAAACATGTATTCAGCCTGTGGAGATTGATGTACAGTTGCCACCTGTTCAGGTTTGAGTCGGCTAGTCCAGGAATTGGCATGTGTTCGGATGGCAGGAATTGATTTGCACCAGGGTCTGGTATTTGGAATGCTGTGTTGAACGTC